TAAATAATGAGAATGTGAAAAAATTACAGAGAATTTGCGTTTTTGGTAACTTTCTGAATATTTGAAAAACACAATCATCTTCACGTTCACTTTGAAAAATGCATAACTTATATACCAATATCTCAAAAAACATGATTTTTGGAACTATTATTTATGTTTTATTTGAATTTTTATATGCGAAATTTGGGTCTTGTGAAACTTGTACTTACTTGAATACTATGAGATGATTAAGTCATTTGGCGGTTATAAAAACCTTGTCGAAATATCACAATGTTAATGCTGTCATCAATGTATTTCTATAACGTATAAGAATCTAAACGGGGTATTTTTCTTGCATCCCTTATATATCCGATATAATTTCGGGCCAATAATGCGAGGCAAAAAAACCGCCCTTATATAAGACAAAAGGCAATACAAAGTGAGATTTGAATATTTGATAGTGATTTATAGACTTACTTTCGTATGGGGTATATGAAATGAGCCCACGAGTTATATCAAGTCACCAAGGGGTGATTTAGATTTTGGGGTGTGAGAGATACAAGTCAGTTGCTGGTTTGCATAGATGGAATATTTAATATCTGAACTCATGGCATGTTGTAAATCACTTTTTAGCTGTTTTGGTGTAACTCTTTAGACTTCCCGGCGATATTCGTGTTAAAAAAAAACAGCTAGAAAATTGTTCGAAATACTGTGTATTTAGCCAAGATCGTCCATTGGGTTTCACATCTGATTAAAATACATATTTTCTCTTTGTTTAAATTTGCTGATGTTGAAAATGAAAAACGGAAACATATCAGCAAAATCAGCGAATAGAAATGGTACGTTCTTCTACGAAAAATTTCCAAAAAGCTAATTTGAAATTTTAAAAAATTTAAACTGAATTTTAAATTTAAAATTCAAATATTCATACCGTGTTATAACGAATCTATCGGCAATACCTCCGAGCCAATATGCATATTATCAACCCTCCTATTTTTTTACATTAACCAATAAAACCAGTTCCATGACTCACCCTATACAATCAAAGTGGTAGATGCGAAAGAAAAAAATGTATACAATAGCCAATAGTAACCCAATATAAGGGCAAAATTATCATCCCCTTGATCAGTGGCTTCGCATCAATAAAAACGCCTATTGCGGTCTCGGCTTTTCTATAGGCGAAAGCGAGATGAAGCTACTCATTTACCGTTGTATTGGGGAGGAAATTTGATGGCATGACTCTTTCTCATGGTCAATATGCAAATTTGGCGATATGTCATATCGGGATTATATATCTTCGGTTTTATAGATCCATTAAAGCGCACATTGGGGTGTCAGAAAGCACCCTTAAGAACAATGGGGTGATATTCACGGGATTTTTACCCTTACGAATAACTTGCGTCAACTACTAGTTTTACAGTTGATATCTTGTGTTTGTTTCTTTTCATCTCTCTGTTATTTTGCATTGTAATTGTGCTGTACTTAATTATGAAGCTTGTGCAACTTCCGTCTTGCATTAAAGTTCAGTTGTTTTCTTTGTTACTTAACATTCGCTAATCCTTTAAGTACGGGCAATGTTTAAATGTAAAGTCCAGCTTTATGAACTGGATGTATTAATTATTTAAACAACAATTGAGGGTCAATTATATTTATAATGTTTCCAGCAGTTTAAAGGCTTGAAATATTGGTGTAAATTGCTGATGTTTTTGCATCATACACGTGTTTTATTCCCACTTTTGCGGCTTTTGTGAAAAAAAGTTATTGGTATTTAATTTACCGCGTGACTCAAAGTTAAGTTCACTTCATCTCAAGTCAATTTCACCAACTTGCGGTAAATCGTTCATATTTGGCCAATATTCGCGAAAACTTGCCAAAAATACAAATTCAGTGAAAATGTGTTCCACTTTTTACCATTTAGCGATTCGAGATTACCTGCTACTTTCTCTAGCTTAGAAGTTACGGATTTTTTACGCAAGGCGTGCAGTTGCGCAAAATCGTTCATATTTGACCAACATTCGAAAAATTGTTAAAAATGCAAAAACTATGATATTTTATTGAGTTTTTCACCATGTAGTGACTCAAGTCTCTTTTATACCGTGTGCAATTTTCAGCGTGCCCCTTCTGCTACATTAGAAGATATGCATTTTTTTAGCCAAGCACGCAGTTGCCCAAAGAAATTCATACTTAACCAACATTCGCAACGTATAAAAAATGCAAAAACCATGAGATTTTATTGAAATTCTCATCATGAAGAGAGAGATGCAAGTCTTTGTTATAACGTGTGATATTTTCAACTTGATACTTGAACTAGATGCCCAAAGTCATTCATATTTGAGCAACATTCGCAAAATTGCCAAAAATTCAAAGTTTTAGTGATTTTCATCATTTACAGGCTCATGTGTTTTTTATAAGTGATAATGTTTTGAAGTTGTAATTTCCTTAAAGTTGGCAGTTTTGAATTTTTAAAACACAACGTAAAGTTGCGGAAAGTCATTCACTTTTTGGCCCATAAAGTTGCCAAAAATACAAACTATTTGAGATATTTCTCACATCCTGTGAAAATATAAAATTCCCACTTTTCTAGATTAGAAGTGATGCAGTTTTATAAAATAAATGTTGCAGTTGCAAAAAGGCAACCGAAAAATGGTTCATTTTTTGGCTACAAATCAAAAAGTTGTCAAAAATATAAATCCTCAACTATTTTCATAAAACTTTTACCATCTACGGATTTCAGTATCTTCTATAACTCGTAAATAGTTCGGAATTGCTCTAGATTGAAAGTTGAACATTTAAAAAAATAAAGGTGCAGATGCGCAAAGTTATACATTTTTCGGCATTTATTCGCAAAGTTGTTAAAAAATCCGATTATTGATGATGTTCTTGACATTTTCACACTTTACGGCTTCAACTCTATTCTATAGCTTGTAAAATTTTCAAGTCGCCACTTTTTTAACATTCAAAGTTATTCATTTTGATCAAAGAGGTTGCAGTTTCAGAAAATCGTAATGTTTATGGCCATTATTCAACACAACAAAATCCGAATTTTCGCCAATTTTCTGCAAAGTTTCACGATTTACGAGGTCAAGTTTCTTCTATAACTCGTAAAGTTTTGAAGCTGCAGTATGGTCTAGATTGGATGTTATCCATTTTGGAAACCGAACGTGAAGTTACGGAAAATCGTTCATTGTTGGCCAGCATTCGTAAAGTTGCCAAAAATGCAAATTTTCTGTGATTTTCTTAATTTCCTTACCATTAAAGGTTCAAGTGTGTATTTTAGTTGGTGAAATTGTCAAGTGTCCACTTGCTCGAAATGACGAGTATGCATTTTTGTAAAAAAGGTTTCAGTTGTAGTTAAATCAATTCAATAAAATAAATAAGTTCTTGAAATTTTTACCATTTTCAAAGTCAAGTTTCTTCTATAACTTGTAAAGTTTTCATGTTGCAAATCGATCTAGATTGAAAGATATGCATTTTTGAAACAGAATGTGAAGTTCAGAACGCAGAAATTCATTGATTTTTGGGGCAACATTTGCAAAATTGTCAAAAATTAAATTTTTCTGAGATTGTCTCTTTTTTAGTTCGTTAAATTTTCAACTTTCAACAAAAGCGGCTGCAATTTTAGGAAGTTGTTAGTTTTTTGGTCAGCATTCACAAAGTTTCCCCCTCGCAAACGCAAAAAATACCAATTCCCAACTATTCTCATCAAACTTTCCCTATTTAGTCCAGATTGAAAATTAAAGGTTTTTAAAATAAAGCTTGCTTTAGGCCAATATTATTAATTTTTGGACTACTTATATTCGAAACGTGCCTAAAAATTATCAGAAATCTTTTCTGCTTGCTTGGCTTTTAGTACCTAGTATTTTTTAATAAAGCTTCTAAATTTACCCTCACAATAAAAGTGCCTCCTCAGTTAAACTGATGAGTTTCACCTGAAAAACTCGCGTCGTTCTTGGAATGACTACAGTTTTCCTGCAACTTTGCTGCTAATTTTTTATGAATGTTTACTGGACAGGGACCATTAAGTGAAAACTCGATGCCAAAGTCCAACAGATTCCCGCCCACTAAAATTACCAGTTGAAACCAAACCCCTCTATTTTTCCAACACCGGAAGCAAATCACAATACCCTCGATCAAAATTGGCGCTGTTTTTGGCACAAAGCGTGCGAGCAATCGACGCCGTCTTCAATTGTTTGAAGGGACTTTTCAATTAAGAAATTGTCCATTAGGAAGAATGGGCGGTTTTTTTATTCGGGTAGTGGAAACCAAAGAACGAAAGTTGGCCATAAAAGCAGCAGCATCTAAAATACCGGAAACTTTGGTCAAGTCGGTTGTGCAGCGTCGCGTAGGAGTGATTGACATACACACAGACTTACTGTGCGACCCTTTCTTTTGTTTTTCCATAACAAGGGCCCCTCGAATGTCTTTTGTTTTTCAGTCAATCATTTGCATGTTGGCTTTCATCTAGAGCTTGTCATTTAATACTTTTTCGAATAATAATAATATGTGTTGTGGCTCCATTTCCATTTAAATCGGGTTCGGATCTTTGTTTGGCTGTGAATTAATTTGTTTTTAAGGGAGAAAATAAAATACCCTGAAAATGATTGGGTTGTTAGTGGGGTCTGAATGCCAAAAGGATATCCGTCTCTCATTTTCGGCTAATCACAAGGTTCGTTAATTTAACACCCAGATCCCACTTAGTTCTTGCATGAGTTTGGCAAAACTCCTTTGGAAAAAGAGCGATAAACCAGTTTAAATGGCAAATATTCAAAATATCACCGCTTGCTGGCGTCATATATAAAAAAATGTTTAATATCGCGACGCCCCACACATATATTCCAATATCCGTATTCGTATAGTCCCAGTCTGCACGTGATTTATACGATTTCTAATCAAACTTTGGGGATTTAGATGTAGACGATTAAAAAAACCGCCGATTTCTATGCTCCCTAAATAAAATTATTGATTACAGCAGCTCCCGCGCTTTGTCATGTTAAATTTAATGTGATTTTTTCCATTTCCAGAGGGCAACATTGGCGGAAAAAGAAGTGACAACTTTAAAGGAACAATTGTCTGGCAGCAATGGCAAGACCAATTGCGAAAACAAAGACACCTCGAACATGGACAGGCAAAGCTTTGAGTCCGAAATCGCTACCAAAGACAAAGAAGTAAGTCCCGTATTTTTGTCTTATCCGCTGAATGCTCAAATCAATGTTTTACACCATCAACAAACCAAAAACACAACCTTGACTATTTCGAGCAAATAATGATGGGTTTCGCCCTTCGTCACGATAATCATATTTCTATCACAAATCCACCCCATCGTATTTGTCGTGCTTTGATTCGAAACAAACGAGGCTAAATGCCCATATTCCAGCACGAAATCCATTTTTTTTCTCTCTTTCACATCGAATCTAACAACTTATATTGAATATTGTTGTCAAAAGGCATTAAACGGCATCGGGACGTATCGAAAGACAAAAGCAAGGCCATAAAAGGGGAGCGCGCAACACGCAAATCAAAAATAATCAAATGGGAATCGAACTTTAGACGTATAAAAATGAACAGGGCAAATGCGAATAAATAACAAACTGTTAGCGGCCGGTWAATTTTTTTTTTTTGAGAAATTAGCAKTAGCTTGATACGCGAAAAACCCAATCGATTTAAATGGGTAATTTAGCGTGTATTCTACGATTGCAGGAAATATTTTTGCCAATCGTCCACCCAAAAAAAAAATTATCTTTTGATCTTTTTGATCGAATCCCCAAACTTTCTAACCTTGTTTCAAAACTTAGTTTTTGAGATACAAGGTGGCAAAACCTAAATGGCACTAATACTTAACTTTTTTGCCACCCTGTATCTAAAAAAGTAAACCTTTTTAATATATGTTTAAATTATATTTTCATCTTAAAATTTAATTTTCTCTCGAAAGTTAGTCCTGCTACTATGAACTGACTGTAATTTTAACTGTAACTTTATTATTATTTTCTGCCCTGTATACAGATGGGGAATAAATATATGATTAGATCCTGTACATAGAATTGCAACTGTTTTAGAAATGGAATAAGATTTTTTGCAAGATTTTGTAAGCTGTTTTAAGCAAAATCCAATTTGCGATATGTATTATTATTTAATTAGCAAAAGCAAAGAAATGCTCAATAAAAAAATAAAAAATCACGTTTTATACCACATATTTGAGTATTATTTTATCTGAAATTTCTACTATCAAGGAGTCATAAACACATTTATTTTTTACAATAATTTCAAACAGCTGTGGTGAAATCCGCCAAAAAAATGTAATCCGTCTTTTGAAAATCGATTAGTAACTCAATAATGTGAAAATATAAATTTTTGTCATTTTCAGTACATTTTCTTTAAATCGGTTTGCATCTTTAATAACCGCAACTACATTACGATATATTTATCGTATTAAAAAACCGTCATTTTCAAATACTAATCCAAACCTAATATAATTTGAGTTTACAATAAATCGTGCATAAAAGTGTTTATTTTCTTTAATATGCGATTTTTTTATTTATTTTGTGCAGTATGTACATATACGTTTCCATATGTTTTTAAATATAATTTGTTTTTTATAATATCATTTTATAATAATGTAAAACTTTTTATGTGCAGTCATTGCAGGAATTAAAGGTGCAACTTCGCCTCAGAACAATAAAAGATTTCCTAGTCGTGCTTGCGATTCATCTGCAGGTTTTTTCTCCTAAATTATACTTARATGAAAATTTTAAATGCTGYTTTCAATGTTTTCAATATTTCTCATTAATTAACGTCATTTYCTKGTTCAAAAATGCTTTAGATAAATCTTCGATTGCWCGGCTTTATTTGAATTATTCTCGAACTTGAAATTTTACATAACACTTTTTGTAGCAAAACAAAATTTTGCGGTTCTTGCTTGAAACTGGTGAGTTTTTTGGGTGCTTTTCCAGTTTTTCACCAATTTTATCAAGACTAATTAGCTACMTAGTTGATTTTGTGCTTWAAACCTTTTTGCAAAGGAAAAGTTAATAACAAAATTACAAAATCACATTTTGCAATACATTTAGTTCTATGTCGTCTAAAATTCTACCTACTTTACAATTTCAAATTACATTGTTTTTAAAAATTAATCAGAGAGCTGTGACAAATCTATAAACCATCGGTGGAAACTTGTATCCTTTAAAGTGCATGTTGCATGAAGCAGTTTACGCAATAAATATCGATAATAAATAAGACTAAAATATACTTACTTATACATTTTTTGAAATCTTCGAACGCAGGCAGCACTTTTTATTGTGATATTTTGAATTGCTTGGAAAACTTTCATTTTGCGCACATCAAAAAATGTAGTTGCTCGAAACTAGTGAGGTTTTCAGGCTTTCTGTTCGTCGTGGAAAAGAACTTCTCTACGTTTCGCCATCACCAGTGGCTTGTGTCTACAGAGATCTTGCTCGAACGCCTGAGAAAAGTATCCAGTGTAAACTTGCCAGCAAACACCTCTGAGGATGCAGTTTTTAAACAATTTCCGGTCAAATTCGACAATCAATCGAACGGGAAACTTTGAGTTGTAAAACAATAATCCGTCCATTTCGCTTTATTCGTCGATTTAAATTTACTGTTCAGAATCACGTGACTGAGCAGGATATGAAAAAAAAACAGAAGTTTTTATCGGTAATTGATTGTATCAGGTACCTGGAGGGTCAACGGAATTGGAAATTATCACGTGATTAGCCCTCATAAATTCGATCAGTTTGAACACATTAGAAATTAATCAGATACTAAATGTGGGAAAATACAAGTCAGAATGGGACTAATCAGCACGGACATCGACAAATTTATGAAAAAAACCCGCAATTGTGGTTTGGTTGAAATCGTTCAGTCCGAAGTTGTTAAGTTAAACAGAGAGAATGGCAACTGTTTGAAATTGTTGTAAGTTTTATTAGAAAAAAAAGCCGATAAACTCCCCTAGAACGTTCAGCTTTCGATAGCTGATTCGAAATATCCGCTTCCTTTACAAAGTGAGAAAAATTGAGCGATAAGACCCAGCTATCGAAGTTCAATGCCTTCAGCCAATTGATTAGGGACGATAATTGGCTAAAAACGTTTGGAATTGTGGTTTATCGTCGGGTTAGTGTGAATAATTTACTGAAACATTTTCATTCGAAACTTATCAGCGTTTGCCCAGTAGTGCAACAATGCGACACCGAAACACTATAAAGTAAAAAATTAAATAATAATAGTTACCAAGTTTAAATAGAATTTAAAACAGCCATAAATGCAATAGCTGGTATTCGACTCTGGCGATTCCAAACATTCTTAAATCCGAGCCATTTTATTTATTTTCGCTTGGGTTTTATTCGGTATTGCATGCGAGGATATTATAAACTTGCACTATATTTCGAATAATTTAGTACGAGCGATTTTCCGCAAGATAGGGGCAAATATTCGAAGCGGATAGGCAAAATACTTTCGGTTTGTTATAAATTATGAAGTAAAAGGGCTTGTGTTTCGATGCGACGTGTAACGCGTACGCGAATGCCTTATTTATTCGAATACTTTAGATTAGTCGAAAAGTCGATTTGTTAGCTTTAATAGCCGAGCCGGAATTTGCATGTCTGGAGCAGATTTAAAATGATTTCAATGAGGCTTTGGAAACAGGGCAATAATGCATAAACACAAGCCGTCTCGTCGCATATGAATTTGCATTGAAACTGCACACCTCCAGTTAGAGGTTTAGTTTCAAGCTTTTGTGCTGAAAAATTGCAATTTATCACCCGTGTGTTAACTTCTGTTAAAAATTTATTGCACAGATTCAAGAATAATCTCACTCAACTTGCAGTACCGATGCAACTAACATTAAAGTACCTACTAAACTTATTCATTTTTCATCTCGAGAGCCAACCCCTATTACACCGTCCGAAAATAATATTAATCACCCAAAATGATCCTTAAAATGTTATTAATGACATTTAAAGGACTTCAACCTTCATTAAAAACCCCCACTTCACCCTAAAATAATGACATTAACCCTAAAATAACGACCCAAACATACAGGTTTAGACGTATAGCGAAAATATATGTATTATATTCCTTTCTCCCATATTAGTATCAAATTTCTAATACCCCTTCAATTTTACTTTGTTTTATAATGTACGGAAGTGGAGGGTTAGAGGCACGGATATTTTGCCGTTGCAAACGACTTTCGCTATGTATTTTGAATATCTAAGGAAAATGCAGTTATAAATTTTAAAATTTTATCCGGCTCGAAGGACCAAATTCTCGGTGGCCAACTGTACAAATTTCTTTGGGATACGACGTTTCCCGACCTAAATCCATTGGATTTTTTCTCTGAGGTTACTTGAAAGGTTGTTTTATTACGATCAAATAAAAAGCACTGCTGGCATAAAATGTGTTAGACTAAAAGGAGTCTCAAGTTGAACCCACAACAGTAAAATTATCAACATTTTTTCGACTTCAGAAAGGATCAATTGATTCAAATAATTGACGTTTGCTGGAAAATGGTTGATTTTATCGATGTCAAACAAGAGCACCTTTTTATTAGTTTAGGCTCCACGCTATCTAAAAATGGTTTTCTGCTGTATCTAACACACAGGGTGCACAAAATATGATCAGTAATGTGAACAAGCTACTCGGAACTCAAACAGCAAAATGAATTTCAGGATGATATTTTTAGAGGTCATGTATTATTCACCATCCTTGACTTTCTTCTGCTGCGCCACTGAAGCCTAATAACATTATCTGATATTTTTGATTCAATTTACAACCTTTCTTACCTTTAGCATTTTTTTGATGTCTGCCACCGTTTTCGAGTTAGTTGCACAATAATTAATCTGAATTTGCTACCACTAGAACGGTGCCACAAATTTCCCATTTACCGTAAATAAAGTAAAAGACACTGTTAATCAATGCACATTACATGTCACTGTGTACGTTCAAAATTTGAGGCAAAAACCTGAAGAGTTAGATTGGAAAAACCAAATAGAATTTCGAATTGCAACAAATGAAGCGTTTGAAGAAGCAGATTTATATGAACTGTTCTCTTGATTTTGTGTTTCATTACATCTTTCACCTCCCAGTTGCAAATTGAATTAACCCGTTTGATTTTTTTAGCGTTCCTGCTTAGGTATATAACATTTATGTTTTTGTG